TTCTCTCACTGCGTCCCCAACCCCCCCCAGCCGTAGCAATGCTGTGGCTGGAGCCTACGGATGAAGACCGTAGTCGTGTGACTCCAAAACATTAAACTGCAATAAATGGAAGGGTCAAGAGGAATAAATGAAGACTCAGCATGTGATAACGTGGGAAAAACTATCTCTAAGCTGACTATTCCTTCATCTCTGAACTTCTTGCACTGCTGCAAGACAGATGATGCCTACTTTACACCTAAAGCCAAGTTACCCACGAGTTACCCAAGCCCCACCAGTGTAACTCAGCATCCCAAAGCCAGGAGTTCTGTAGGAACTGACACCCTGCGCGCACAAACGACACATCTCCTGGGTACACGAGGCAAAACGCAGCTCCTCCCAACACCACAGCAACTCCAGCTCCTCATTGCGTCAGGAAACTTTTATAGCAATCGTGAAATGCGATCGCTCCCTCCCACCACCTCAGGCCAAGCAACTTGCATGTCGCATACAACAGGGTAATGGTCGATGGCTTACTGCCGCTAAAGAAAACAGCAGGCTTCAGTTCCGCTTTTAAGTCTGAAGACAGAAAAGAGGCAAAATATGTAGCAATGGGATACACCCACACACTACTTCAGCAGTCCAAATTTGTTTAAATTCCCATTAGCACTAACAGGAATCTCCCAGACGTGAAGGAACAGAATAGCCACCCAAAACTGACCAGAAGTGGCAACAAATCCAAGTTCCACACTTGCCACAAATTTCCCTTCAGAGTTGGCGTTGATCTATTGACTATAAACGCGGCAAAGGCACGTGTGGAGCTTGACCACACCACGGCTCAGCACCCATGAGCTGATGGTGCAGAGCCCATCTCAGACGTGTGACCAGCAGTAGACACGAGGATGGGGTTGTCCAGACCAGGCAGGTCTGGAAAGAATGTGCTTTAGGTAAAGGCACGCCCCAAACTAAGAATATATTTTTGTTTGTTTGTGGTCTTTTTTTTTTTTTTTTTCAAATTATTTGTCCATTTGACTTTCAGAGAGGTTTTCCACAATGTAAAACCACATTTTCAAACACAATTTCTCCAGTACAACAATTTTAAGGCAGCAAAGGTTACTTCACTGCTCTTAAATTTAAAGGGCTAGTGTATCAGTTGTTCCATCCGGATTTGTACTTGCCGTCATCAAAACTCTTGAAAATTAGGCGCCACACAAGTCTAAGTTGTCTGAACGCCAAAAATTAAGAATTTGGCTGTGAAAGCACAGAGGATTTCTCACGCTCAAAGGCTGAAAATCTTATCTGGATATGAGTGAAGAAATTTTAAGCGATCACTGAGCAATTTAAGAGGAAATTAATGAGTGTGTCCTGAAGAAAATAGTATTACAATCATTAGGTAAATTGGTAAAACAACCCTGCTTTAGGTCCTTCCTATAGCATCTGGCTTAGCTGAATCAGCCTGTGTTTCTTTATGAAAAGGTAGCGTCTGGGGAAACATCTATACACGCTTTCTCAAAACATCTTTGAGTAACCTGCTAAATGATTAATTGCAGCAATTTATCCTAGTTTGACTATAATGTTTTTCCTTATGACTTTAAGATGTTTCACTGCTTCAGAAAATTAGCACTTTTATACTGAATAATCAATATACATTTTACTATAAATATCTCATTGAAGGACAGCGGTTTTTTTCATCCTGCATGGTAGGAAAATACCTTCTCTAGCATTAACTGGGAAGGACTGAGCCCAATGAATTTCACAGAGCCTTGTTTCTGCTGAGGTCGGTACCATTTTTAAATTGGCGATAGCTACAGGACTTCAAGGGTCTTGCATGTTTACACGTTCCTGATGGGAAATTATTTACTGTTCATCAACTAAATTATTCAATGAGTTTCATTAAATGATCCAAACATCTGTGAATGGTGTATATTTATTATTCTCTCATCTTTTTTATTCAGCAGCATTAATTTGCTTCAAAATGAAATACAACTTTCCACCTTCATAATAACCTAATCTAAGGGCAGAATGAGGCACACACAGCATCATTTGAATTCCTTGTTATTAGTTTTTATGACAGCCTACCACTATTGGTATACCATGTTAAACCACCAGAGCCATAAACACATCCTCATAACTTAAATGCATGGGAATTCATTCCCTATAGTTCTTGAAGGGTTTAAAGGCAAATAAATACAAGACATTTTGTAACTCGTAGCTACTGCCACTAGCACAGAACTAAGCCTGGTGGTGAGACCATTGGAGAAGTCTGTGAAATTCACATCCAGACTCTTATACGCCCTGTGGGACAATCTAAATCATAGCGAATTTTTTTCCCCTCAGTGACAAAATAAGTTGCTATTGTTGCCATACAGGTACAGTAAATGATCTAAAACCCATACAGTTTTCAAAAAGAAAGGCTGGTACAGTCGAACTCACATGAGTTACAAGAGCAATGCTACGGTAAGAGAGCTGGTAACCTGGAAGCTAGTCACTGGAAGAGCTGTACAGAAGAGAACCAGGTACATGGACGAGGTACTTCCAGTGACGTTCTGCAAAGGTTACCTCCCGAAGGTCACCGCTCTGTGTCCTTCTCAGGAGCTGCAATTGCTAAAAAGGACTGAGGACGGGGAGGTGGTACCACAGCTAACGCTCTGCTCCATGCCAGTCCCACCACTACTCTGAACCACTGGTGAACCAACAAGTTGAGAGATTTTTTGGTTGTATAAAGCAGAAAATAATCAGATAGACTAGGAGTTTTACATTGTCTCGACCTGAAGCTTCTACAATTGCCCTTGGAATAAAGTCTAAGGAGATAGTCCCACTCTGAGGGTTATAGCCCAGGAAGATGTTGAACTGGCAAGGCTATAGAGAAAAGCCACAGTACTCATTAAAGCAATAGAAACGTGCTCAACAGCACAAGTGATAAGCTCAGCAAATTTGCAGTATCAAATGAAAAATCAGGGAAAAGCAATCAACATCTTTAAAACATTCATGAGGGACTGAAATTCAATAGCAGATCAATTTTCAACATAAGAGGCAAAGTTAAGGCAGTAATAAAATGGATTAGAAATCACTTTCCATTTGCTCAGCTTAAGATGTTTATGCAAAACAGCTAACCAAGACGTTTCACTAAATCAAAGTCAGCAGTGCCGACGGACTTCACTGGGAGTGCTGGGGGGTATGGAATCTCCTTTTGCGCTCACCACCAGGAACCAGCTCTACAGCCCACACCATCGGGATCTCCATCACCCAGCACTTCCGCACAACTGCAACCAACGCACTGTCCTCACCGCGTCCAAAGATGTAAAAACCCAATCTGACCCTAAATAACTCTTACCAGCCCAGTCTGGCAAACACAGTGCCTTACATGGCTGCTGCTCTTCCCTGCACAACCTTTCAGAGCCCAGTTTTACCCAAATTCGGTACAGGCACGCAGCCAGCCCCGGAGGGTACCATCCCCATCTCCTGACGCCCAGAGATGATGCCTTCATCCAGTTTGGGGACAGAGGTCTGAGGAGCTGCTGCTCAACCGCAGCACAAGCCGCAGTGGGGAACCAGAAGCCGTCAGCTCCCCTGTTCCCACAACTACTTGTCGCCCTCAAGAGCAAAAAGGCATAAAAATGTGTTTCTGTCATTAAACTCAGAAGACTGGAGTCTAAACAAGAGAGAGGCAAAAGTGGCTGCTAAACAGGATTTTTCTACTTTTAAAGTCACTCTTCATAATGGAATCGTGTTTTAAAGTGACAAAGCCATCTTGAAATCCAGGCAGTTTAAAACTGACGCTTTTTTTTTTTCCTTTTATAACAATCCTTTCAGGTATTACTTCTGCTTCTCATTCTCTCCATCTCTACCCATTTCACTCCCCTGCAAGACCCCTGGGAGAAGCCAAGTATTCGAGAGAAAAAACTTTACAGAGTGCACCCAAAATGCTGCCAGAGAGTTACAACAAGTAAACTGATAAAGACAAAAGAATATGGCATGAAGCTCATCAAGGCCAAGTGCAAGGCCCTGCACGTGGGT